AAGTGGCTTTAGCTTCTCAGTGCTGTGCTTTAACCCGCTGCGCCACCAGGGAGGGTCCAGTAAACTGTTTTTAACAAGCCCTGTGCAGGTGGCTCTAATGTACACTCCATTTTGACTACTCATAAGGGGAGAGATGGCCCACGTGGGGCTGGAGTCTTCAGAACTGGGTGGACATTCCAGGAAGGACTGAGCTGGCATGCTGGGGGGAAACAGGAGGCTCCAGCAGGGGCCAAGCCAGAGTTCCAATCCCACTCATCTTCACTTCACCACTCATCTCCTGTGTGACCTTGCATCAATCACCCTGCATCCTAGTGTGGCAGCTGAGAGAAGGAACAGGGCAGGGTATGTAAACCCCCTGGCAAGGTGTCTGGCATAGCACAGCATTAGAAGATGCTGAGTCCCCAGGAGATGGGGGCTGGGAGGGAGCATATGAGAGTGAAGTGGGGAGGGTCAGGCCTCCAGGGGCAGGGGCGTAGTGAGCAGGGGCTTCCCTCTGGTTCCGGTCTACACAGGATATTTATTGTTTGGCACTATGGAGGCAGCTGGCGAGGGGCATGACTTTTGGAGGGTGGGCAGTTAGGGGAGGTTGCAGTGCCTGAAGTTCCTGAGCTCTTTTTTAAGGGACAGTCTGAAGGAAGAGACACAGACAGAGAGAGCCAAGGGCCTACATATGAACCCTTCTTCTGTTTAATAACAACCAAAGATATGTTTCCAAATATGGCTTCTCCTCTCTCAGCTTGACACATGCTATTCAGACACAAAGAGGAAACATCTGCCATCTCAGTGGAGTGACCTCAGGTCAACAGCAAACGTTCTGGGGCAGGCAGGGGCAAGCCCAGGGCCCACACTGGGACTTCTCTGAACTGTGCAGGGTGCTGCTCACCTAGAGGGGAGACAGACATGAGCAAAAAACATCCAAGGGGCCTCACAGCACTGTTTATTGAGCACCCACCAGACATGAAGCACAGCACTTGTCCCAGCAGACCTCATTTCAGTCTCACACTCAGGTGGCCAGGAGACACAGGGAAGCAATGCAAGGCTCCTGGAGGGTGACTCTCTGAAAGGCCACAGAGGCAGACATGAGTGCAGGCTTTCTGCTGCTGCTTCAGTGCTGCCTGGACAGAAAAGCACCATTCAGGGAGAAGACTTCCAAGGCTTTATGGACTAGACCCAAGCTCTCCATGGTCTGCAGTGATGAGGAGCCAGAGTATGCACAGTTGGCCTGGGGGCAGTTAGGCCTGCCAGGCCCTGACCTCTAAGGTAGCAGCACCTCTTGTTATGGAGTCAAGTCCCTCAAACAAGGGGTGAAGTAACTGTACTTTCGGCTCCTTCCACTGCCCCCATTTCTCTTGGGGTTGATGCCTACAGCAGCAGCAGCCTCCTGTTCTTTGGTACCCAACTCTCCTTCCCAGATAGCACCCAGCTTTTCATTTAATCACTGTCAGGAGCCAGGACTCCTCATTATTCCTAGAAGGATCTGGAGTGGCCTGCAAGGTCCTTCGTCTGTGTTCCATTCACCAGCCCACAGCAGGTGCTCAGGACAGTTAGGAAGCAGAAACTTGCGTAGGTAGGAGCTCTCCCCAGGCCACTGGCAAGGAGAGTTGCTGAGCTCCCTATGGTTTCTGGCGATCACCAAAGGGGTAGATCTTTGATTTAGGGAACCAAACTCCTCTCAAAGGCAAGATGATGAGTATGGCTCCCACGAGCAGCTGTTTGTTTTCCCCTTTAACTATAATAACTTTTACTTCACGTCAACAATGAGCTTTCATTTCCCCCAAGTTTGTGTGACTGTGGGAGATTCTCATCTCTCTGAAATAAAATCATAATTGGCACATAAGAATGAGAGACCATGATGTCCCTAAACCAACAGGTGAGTATCCCACAGTGGCTTGGTCTAGTACTGGGTATAGTGGGCCCACAGAAGTCAGGAATAAAGGGCTGGAATAAAGGGCAGGTGGAAAGAAGGAAGGAAGACTAGAAGGAAAGATGGGAGGAAGAAGGAAGGGAGAGGAAGAGAAGGGGAAAAAGATCTTTTACATTAATACTACAAATAGATTCAACAGCAATTATTGTAAAGATTATTTTTACATTTCCCGGACATGGCATCCTCTAGTCAGATGAACCTTAGCCTGGGTGAGATAAATGAACAAATGTTATTGACCATTTACTGTGGGTGAGGACCCCAAAGCTCCTGGTATCTACCAAGTCCACACCACAGTCTTTTATAAAAGAAGGTAATTATTTCAAAAACTTTGTAACAAAGTGCAACAGGAAGGATTGGTGTGGCACATAGACAACAAGTCAGGTTATTACTGCACTAGTGATCCGGGGTCAGTCTGTCTGACCCAGACATCTGAACAAACACGTTTCTATTTCACCCCAATACACGCCCCCCCCCCTCATCTGCAGTCTGTCTCCTTTCATACTCTGCTGAAGAGTCTTGAAATGATCATAGAGAATCAAGGTATCTTTCCATCTCCATTAATCAGACAAAAAGCAGAGGATGTCTAAGATTAAAAGTATTTCATATCTAAGTTTTATTACTTTCTCTTTTTTTTTGTATTTTGATCTTAGGATTTCAAGGACAGAAAGGAACAAAAGGAGAAAGTGGAGTTCCAGGTAAAGAAAGGACTGGCTTGATGTTAATTTCTAGCAATGATGACTGGAAAGTCCACTTGCTGGGAGGGCTGGTCTTGTTGACTTTGACACAAGGCTGTGACCTTCCCCTAGAATGTGTGGGGCCCAGCCTAGTTGAGGGTCTGTCACTCAAACCTCAGGTTTTGCACCTGGACAAGGATAAATCTGGAAGATCCAGAAACACCAGGATCTTAGCAACCTGAGGGGCATAGAGAGAGGGGTGGGGGCTGAGAGTGATGGGGTAAAGCAATATCTGGGAAGTTGGCAATCATGGTGGTGGCTTTGGGGTGTACAGCCACTTGGAGGAGGCACTGGTTCCCAGGTGACTTGCAAGTTCTCTATCTGCTTCCATATGTCTACTCTGGTTCCTCTCCCTCTCTCTGTGAGCCCCCCTCAGAGCTGTCCTGAGCTCCTGTTTCTCTGTAGACTATTGTCATCATGACCCTCATTTGCCAACCCCTTGTTTGGAATTGGTTACTTAACTGGGCATCTGCCCGGGCATCCCATCTTCTCAAGGACCCCACACTAATACTTGCTAAGTCAAACTTCTCAGGCAAATGTTTTGAGCAGACTTTTTTCCTCCTGCACTGGATATTCTATTGCTCTTTTAATTTGCTAAATAAACTGAGGCCTAGAAACATTCTAGCAATTTCTCCCAGAGTGGGTAGAACTCACAGATAATTGTGCCATCCACTGGGAACCAACAACCTCTGAACCCTGTCAGCATGCTCTCCACTAGTATTTATCTGACAGCAGACTCGAGTGTGAAGCATCTCCTCACCCCCAATCCCAAGCTGCCCCAAATACACAGCTGCATGTTCAGACCCATCACCGGGGAAACGTGGTTGTTACAGACAAGTCAGTCTTTAAACTCCAAGATTGTTGTTCCCCATGAAAAGCCGCGCAGAGAGGACAACTGACACCACTAATCTCTCTCTCCAGGCCTTGCAGGCATGAAGGGAGAAAAGGGAAGCCCAGGGCCGGCAGGCCTCAAGGGTGCACCTGGGCCCATCGGTCCAAAGGGAGAACCCGGAATGAAAGGTAAATGCTCTGCTTCTGTTTTGTGAGTCTAAGAAGAGACTCTGTTTAAAGGTTTTGGGAACCTGGGGTGCCATGAGGGGAAAAGGTTACTGGTTCTGTGGACAAGTCCTGTCTCAGGACTGCCCTGGACACTGAGTGCACCGAGGGGCTCAGGCCTGGCATTCAGCGAGCAGACCAGTGCGCCTGTACCTGCACACTGCCCAGCCAGGCCAGCAACAGCCTCCATGGCTCGCCAGATCTCTCCACCGAGGAGAGGCTTCCACTCCACCTCACCCTGTGTCTTTAACCTGTGAAACATCCCTCACTGAGCTAGCTCGACTCCTTCCTGCTGTAGCTGGAGCTGTTTCTTCTTGCTCAACCACTGGCGTCCACAGTACATGCATTGCCCACAAGGCCAAGTCATGAGCAAAGCTGGAGACAGAAAAGCTATTCTCTTCTGCACTGCTGGAAAAGGTGGGTGAGGAGACCTTGGCTTGGCCTTTATGAATTATATGCTTCTTCTCCACGTGACAGGGTCTTCTGGGCAGAAAGGACAACAGGGAGAAAAAGGTGAAAAAGGTAATTGCTATTTCTAGTCTCTTTAATTTGTGCTTTAGTGTCAATTCTAGACTTGAAAATTGTGCGTGTTGGTAGGGAAGAGACTCTTTGGCCCTCAGGAAAATTCCTCACTTGGGAGAAGCTAGTGGGTTCTTCCCTTGAATGCCCCCATGATATATTGTCACCGTGCGATAGATCTCCTTCCTTTTCTTCACCTTTCCTTCCCTTCTTCCTTCCTCCTTCCATCTCCCCCTTCTGTTCTCTTTTCTCCTTTTGATCACTACCTACACAAGGTTGGGTTGGCAAGACCAGCCCCAGAAGCACTGGCTCTGATGGCATCACATCCCACATGAGAAAACTGCCTCATGCCAGCCCAGACCTCTTCTCTCACTTCTTCCTCATGTGCTTTCTTTATTGCCAGGCCAAAGCTTATCATTCGCCAGGATCATCGGCTCTTACACCCAGGGCAGGGCTGAAGTCCACTATAATGGTGTCTGGGGAACAATTTGCGATGATGACTGGGACAATAGCGATGCCACTGTCTTCTGCCGTATGCTGGGATTCTCCTCAGGAGTCGCCATTTACAATGTGGGAGCTGGTAAGGGAGTTGCCATCCTGGACCCTCCTTCCTTGAGGTGTTGAGGTGGACTTGTCTCCTGGGAAGTGGAGGGTGTTGACACCCTTTGCTTGAAAGTGACTCATTTGGCTTGGATTAAAAGAAAAGTCCTACCACTCAGGGCCCCAGGCTTATATGTTCCCAGTTCGACAGTTCTGAAAGAAAGAAGCTGTCTCCTCCCCACAGTGGCTGCAAAGGCTTGTTTGGGGCTGTGCTGGTCCAGCTCAGGTCAATGTCTGATTAGCCTTGAAGTCAGAATGCCACAGGGTCCAGTGTTTGCGTGGGGCGTGGTTCTCTCAAAGACAGCTAAGTTGTTGGGGCTACTGGGAGAACAGAGAAGATGGCAGACATGGTATTCATCCCAGCTTCTGGCAAATAGAAGCCTAGCTTATCCAAGCAATCTTTAAGGAGATGAGAAGCGAAAGCAAATCAGAGCAGACACATTCAAAAGTCAGTTTTGGAAAGATGTCCTGGGGTACTCAAAGACTCAGTTTATGTCTGTCAGCAAAAGGTTTAAATTTTCAGTAAAGGAGTTAAGTCATGGATGAGATTAGTTCTTAGGTGGTAAGAGCTGACCTAGCAGGACAATTGTTCTATTCTCTTGCGTCTGCTCCTAACTGGTCTGCTTTTACTCCACCCCAAAAGTAATATCAGTTTTTTAATCTGAGCCCACTTGGATTATTAAATACATATATTCCTTTAAAACACATTTTCCTCAGATGTCCTTGGTGGCCAAGGGGTTAAGTATCAGTGCTACCATTGTGGCAGCCCCACCACAGCGACCTGAGTTTGATCCCCGGTCAGGGAGCTAAACCACATGGAGCAGCAGACCATTCCTGTCTTGCCTACTGCTCTCCTCAGCAGTGTATTTCAGTAGATCTGCTGTTTTGTTCCCCGAACTGTCTCTAGGGAATCCCCCACCTCTGGCCTCCACCCAAGTTCTTTTAAATCAAAAATATATTTAAAATATATATTTCTAAAGATTTGTTTATGTATGTACACAGAGCTGGGGTACAAGTCAGAGGTACAGGGGCGGTGAGAGGATTCACCAGAGACAGAGTGGGGAACAGAGTAGGCAGATCAACAAAGTACACTGCTGAGGGGAGCAGCGGGCGGGTCAGGAGAGAAATCTTAAAAAGATAAATAAATTTTCCTCATGTAGATTGTCACATTATAGTATGAATTACGTAGTCACACAACCCAACATTTTCATCTGACCTCTTAATTTGAAATCAAGTCTATTAGAAGGAAGGATGTTTGAAGAAGGTGTGAGTGCTTCAGAGCTGGGGTTGTGGGGGTTGGGGAATAGTTATAATGGCATTTGAGGGAGATGGATATGGATGGAGTAAGTTTTCAGGGAAGAGGTGAATGCTGGGAGGCCCATGGGAAGAGATTTCAAATAATGACTGGACTAAGTGTTAAATACTTGGAGTAGATTCTTACCCAAACCCTGCGGTCCTGTCCTTCCTTGCTTTCTCTGTATCTAGGCACTGGACAGATCTGGCTGGACAATGTTAACTGTAAAGGGTCAGAGAAGACCCTGTGGGACTGCAGCAAGAATAACTGGGGTTCTCACAACTGTGGACACAGTGAGGATGCTGGTGTAAAGTGCAGCTGATTCTCAGAAGCCTTCCACTCCACCCCCCCAACCCCCCCACCCTGGTTTCCCCCTGGGGAAACCAGTACTCTTTGAGGGATGCCTGAAGTGACCAAGCAGCCTCTGTGATGCGGTAGCTAATAAAGCTCGGAGCACTACCTGGTAAAGTCATTGGCTACGGCTGAAATCACTGAGTTTTCTTCGCCATCTCTTTCTGACGTGCCCACTCAACACAGAACCTTTTGTGAGTTTTCATAAGCCCACACACAATGGGACAATGGAGTTTCAATTTAGATCTGGGGGAAAGGTGAGGCTACAGAGAGCATCTAAATGCAATGCAAAAGATGAAGATCACCTTTAGTCAACATTACCACAACCATCCTTTAATCCTTCAGAGCCAGTATCTCTCCCAGTGAATTCTTCCTCGGGTATCAGATCACTTGCCAGTAAATAAAGAAATTGGTGTGTAGTTTGGCCCATGCTGCGTGACAAACAGGAGTAATAACTTTAAGGTGGGAATTAGTGCTCATTAGAATATGCACTCCATAAATGCGGGGGCTTTGTCTGTTTTAGTCACACCTGTAGGGGTTCAATAAATATTTATGGAGTGAACCGCTGAATAGAAGCAAGGTGCAACCACTCACCCTTTCTGAGAAGTACTGCTCCGGCTCCCTTTCAGTCTTCCTCTAGGATACAGCTTGAGTACAACCACATTCTCCCTAGTCTCTCCTCCTGTGTGCATGTGCCAGGTTGTAAATGATTCAGGTGAATTTAAACCTGGGAGAGATGTACATGTGATGTGACTCTGAGTCTGAGGTATCGTCATTCCCACTTGCCCAGGAGAAACTCAGCCTTGGATATTAGAAAGATTGCCCAGTGTCACTCGTGAAAGGTAGAACCGAGGTCAGAAATTCAGAACTGAGGAAGGAACAGAGGGAAGAGCTGAGACGGAGTAGCCCAAGTGTGTGAGCACCGCTCAGAATGGGACAGGGTGAAAGCAGCCCCCAGCAGGACAGCCCCCCACCAGGCTATCTCTCAGTAGGATGCCTCCACCCCCCCCCCCAAAACAGTTCCCTCAGGACAGAAACCCTCAGTATAGCCCCCAGCAGGATAGCCAATCCAGGACAGCCCCCAGTACAACCCCATCCAAGACAGCCTCTCCAGGACAACCGCCCACCAGGACAGTCCCCTCAAGATGGCCCCCCAAAGACAGCCCACCTGGGACAGCCTCCAGCAGGATAGCTGCATTTCCTCCCCTCAAGATCTCATCTGGCCATGAGAAGTCCATCGTACACTGTAGCCCATAATTCTAGCACAAGCAGTAGAGCTGCTCTGGCCCTTGGCAGAGAGGGGAGTGTGGGAGCTGAGCTTGAAAGCTGTCTGTTTTCCCCTGGCAGAAATCTCTAGGGGGGCTGGAAGAAAAACATTTTAAGCCATATCAGGGGTTCTGGGATATATTACTTTGCAAATGTGTAACTAACATGTCTTGGGGCACACCCCTTCTCCCATCTTGTTGTTTAGTCCTTATCTCCCAGGATGTTTTTTTGTGCTTGTTTTGCCCAAGGGAAGGAAAAGAACAGGTACTGCCTGAAACCAAGATGTCTCTCTGATCTGAATCTCAAACCTGATTTCCTGAAGCTCTGTAGGAAGTAAGAGCCATGAAAATAGAATTGGGAGGAGAAAAGATATTCTATTTTTTTTTCTATTTAGCTTATCAAAAGCCAAGCCTAGATGACTTGATCATAGTGTTTGTTTTTTCTTTTTTCCATTTTTATTTATATATTTTTACATCATTGTGCATTTTTGTACAATGTTTTATTTCTCCTTTCAGTTGTTGTTCCCATAAAATTCCACCACCAAGACACCTGTGAGACATCGATTAGAGCATTTTAAGGGAGGTATGAGAAGAGCAAGCAGGAAAAGCAGTAGAACAAATTCCTCTGCTGCTCACTAGTAGATGGTGAGAAAAGAAAGTGCAGAGACAGAGGAGAGGGAGGGTCCTCCGAGGCGTTCTGAAGTGAGGCCCAGCCCCTCCAGCTTTAGTTCTTATTCCAGCATCTGCTGTGGCTAAGACTCATGCATGGAGAGACTGATTAATGCCTCAAGAACACTTGTTACTTTTTTAGGGCTGTGTTAGTGCACATGGTCTCTGTGCCTTTCTGTCTCATTCTCTCTCTTTCACACACACACACACACATCATCATCATCATCATCATCATCATCATCATCATCATCATCATCTTTCCACAGGAACAAACCACAGTTCATCGGCACAGCATAGCCAAAATCCTTGCAGAGAATGGGCAGTCCACCCCTACCCTAGCAGTCAAGTCCAAAGAAAGGCTGGAAGCATGCAACACTGCCTTCCATGGCTTTGGGTTTGATCCCTAACTGTTGAAAGCCCGATCACACTGGCCCAGCTCCTCAGCTCCTGTCATTTATCTGTCAATTGACCGCCTCCACACAGGTACCTCAAAGGTCAGGCAGCTAAAACCCGGCTCTTCTGCCTTCTGTATTTGCTGTCAGCCAGTGGTTCTCTTCACCCAGTACCTGAGCCAGAAATTGACAGTCAAATGCGGTGGCTTCCCCTCCCTTACACACAACCCGCCAGGCCCCAGATCCCACTAGTTCTTCCTCTCCAGTTCTCTCTAGTCCACACAATTCTCTCCATCCCTGCCACCACAACGATCCAGGTCTGAGTGCTTGGAACATCTAACTACTCTCTTCTTTCTACAGCACTAAACCAACTATGCATCAGTCTCTGCACAGCAGCCTGAGAGATCTTTAGAAATTACAAAGCTAACCCTGCCACTCCCTGTCTAACACCATCAGCGGCTCCCCATTCCGTTGGGCTGTGGGCCCAACTCATCACCAAGGAAGCGGCCCTGACATGTCTCACACAGGCTTCAGCAACCTTCATGTTTCATTTCCTCTCTATTATATCCAGTCCTGTGTTTATGCAGCTGCTCTTATGCAGTGGTCCCCTACACTATAAATACATTTGGAATGACGCCCTGACCACGTGAGTGATGGTTGCACAAATAAATGAAGGGATGAAGGAATGTTAAGCAGAGCATGTAGCTTCTCTGAACAGCGACTGCTTCATAGTCTTTCCTCAGATGGAGGTATACATCATACTCTAATTATTGTGACTAAAGACCCATTCAAACAGTTTCCCAAATATGATGAATGATTTTTTTTCTAAAACAAATCAAATCCAGGGACCTTTTAGGTTTTAAAATTAAGGTCTTAGTGAGATAAGCCAGAAAGAGAAAGAAAAATACCGGATGGTTTCACTCATAGCAGGAGTATAATGGACCAGGCGAGAAAATAACAAAAATAATGAACAACCATATACCATTTTGTGGGGGTGGAGTGGGGAATGGGATCAAAAACAGGGGGAGGGGGAAGGGAGGGAAGTGCACGGGACTATGGTGGTGGCACAGGGGTGATTTGGTGATGGGAAACCCGCGGGGATTACAATCGAGATGGAAAAAAAAGTGCAAAATGATGTAAAAATAAACTTTGTAATAAAAAAATTAAAATTATATATGCTTTCTAAAAAAAAAAATTAAGGTCTTAGGGCCCATGTTTTACTAGCTGAATTGTGAATTAGAGAAGTTCCTATTTCTTGCTGCCTTGACATACCCATGGGCTGTGAGCACCACTGAGATAGGTTGGTACTGCTGAGGTAGGTTGGTCCTGCTGAGGTAGGCAGGTGCCCTGTCCTAACTTCTTTTTTTGACCTTTCTCTAACTGTGACCTAGTGTTATTCAAATGCCCCAAGGGAATATTCTCTCACCTTTTGCTCATGCACCCCACCCTGACTCCTGATAAAGGCTTGTCCAAGGATACTGCCCCCCTCAATCGTGCTCTCTCTCACTTCCTGCCACTTGACAGAGCCAGCTCCCTCAGCATGTGACTCCCTCCAGAGTGTAGTGACTTTCTCTCTAGGACTTGTGAGTTTTTTTTTTTTTAAAGCTTTATTTATTTATACATGCAGAACTGGGATACAGGCCAGAGATACAGGGGTGGTGAGAGGATTCACCAGAGCCAGAGAGGAGAGAAGGACAGGCAAATCAATGAAATATACTGTTGAGGGGAGCAGCAGGTGGGTCAGGAGCGGTCTGCCACACCATATGGGTCACCTCCATGGCTGGGCGTCGAACTCGCACAGAAGTGGCTGTAGCTAGCTTGAAGTGCTGTGCTTTAACCCACTGGGCCACCAGGGAGGGCTGACTTGTGAGTTTAAGGAAATTTTCCCACCCCTTCTCCCATGCCACCACATGTGCCTCCACTTGACTGAGGCACACATCCGACTAGAGTATCACCTGAAATGACTAATACAGTCCTTTCTTATAAATGAGCAAACGGAGTCACGGCAGGTTAAGGAATTCTCAGGTGGCTCTAATTCACCATCCTTAGATCCAAGGCGATTTTGCAGCCAAGCTCATCCGAAGCTGGGTCTGTCACTCTTTCACACTCTGTTCCCTCCGTGTCATGAAAACATGTCTGGGCTAGCCCACTGGAGTGTGAGCAAACTCTGGTGTGTGTGTGTGTGTGTGTGTGTGTGTGTGTGTGTGTGTGTGTGTCTGTGTGTAGGGGAGAGAGGAGAGAGGCAGTTGCCCTGTTTGAGGACATCTTTCATGGTCAGATTAACAAATCCAGCAGAGACTGGCAGGCCAGTCATAGCATATCTTCTCATATTGTTACAGGGCAGACCAGGGTGAACTTGGGCCACTTGTCAGTGGGGTCTCACCTGCACGCTTAAAATTCAGTTATACTGCAAGCGCATACAAAAGGGTCAAAATGGGTTTGTTTACAAAAAGGGAAAAGGAACAGGAAACAACCCAGGGAAAGAGAGTGGGATACAAAGTAACTGGAATACCTTACCAGCTCCGCTGACTGAAAACGCCCAGTCACGTAGTCCAGAGAGCCATTTCCTGAGCGAGAGAGCAAGAGATGCAATGGCACCATATTTATCTCCCAATGGCCCAGAATTCCTGCTAGCTCCGCGCTTG